TTTGGGAAAAGGAGGCTTTTGCAGTACGCTGGGCCCTTATGACATGGAGGCACCTCCTTGACGGGGGATCACATCCTTTTGAGGTGTGGACGGACCACAAGAATTTAGAATCCCTTACAACTCCGAGGAAGTTATCTCCCAAACAAGTACGCTGGGCCCAATTTTTCAGCCGATTTAAGTTCATTTTAAAATTCATCCCTGGAGGGAAAAAATTTTTAGCCGATGCATTGTCAACGTTACCTCAGCATAACAGCCAAAGAGAACAGGTGGTTGCCCCGGTAATCCCTAAAGCACCACCTCAAACAGAACCTGGCTCGGTAGCCCTGACCAGAACCCAAGCAAAACTATAAAGACAGAAACCTACCAATGAACTGCTCCAAAAAATAAATGCTGCTTTAGATTCTGATGAATGGTTCCAGAATAATAAAAATACCCTAACCCATGAAGGCCAAGCTTGGTGGATGGGAGACAAGCTGTATGTTCCACTTTCACTTCGTAAACAAATCCTAGAAAAGGGACATGATGATAAAACCTCGGGGCGTTTTGGATTTATAAAAACTTTACACTTACTACGTAGACAATTTTGGTGGCCAACCATGAGAAAGGACATTTCTGAATATGTTTCTACATGTCCTGTATGTGCAATGTCAAAGAAAAGAGGGGGAAAACCTTTGGGCCTTCTTCAATCTGTGGCATCTCCAAAAAAACCTTGGGAAGAAGTTTCTATGGATTTTATTGTGGATTTACCTGTAAGCAATCACAACACAGCAATTTGGGTTGTGGTTGATCTGTTTTCTAAACAAGCGCATTTTATTCCGTGCTCATCAATTCCAAATGCTAAAAAATTGGCTAAATTGTTCATAACACATATCTACCGCCTCCATGGCGCCCCCAAGAGGGTGATTTCAGATCGCGGCCCACAGTTCACCTCAACATTTTGGAGGGAATTTCTTACATTAATTGGATCTACTCAGGCTTTGAGTTCCAGTTTTCATCCGTAAATGGCCGATCTACGGAGAAAATTAACTCCTTATTGGAACAATATTTAAGATGCTTCACTAATCATCAACAAGATGATTGGTCTGAACTTCTCCCTTTTGCTGAGGTGGCTTATAACAACACAGTGCATCAGAGCACTGGATTCACGCCGTATAAAATAGCTTCTGGTCAAGACTTCCCGCCTTTTCCAGAATTACCACTTAAAAACCTTCCTGAACTTTCAGCAGATCAGTGGATAAATAACATTACAAGTCTA